CGCTGAGCTGCATGCAATTCTAGGGGGGGCCGCCACCACTACCCCACCTCTGACCGTGGATTCTGAGGAGGGGGTAATCTCAGCCATGCCTGAGGATTCTGCGAATGGGGAAGATGATGATGAGGACGAGCTTGCAGAGAGCACGCGGCACTCCCTTCTCCCCAACAGCCAGGATCTTTTTCTCAGCCTGACTGAAGTACCCTCCCAACCCTCCTAAGGCGTTATCCCAGACAATGAGGCCATGGGAGGGACCTCTGGTGAGTGTACCTTTGTAAATATAAAACATGGTTTAAAAGCAAGCTTTTTTTAATGATTAATTTGCCCTGAGGACTTGGGATGCATTCGCGGCCAGTACAGCTACTGGAAAAGTCTGTTAATGTGTCTGGGGATGGAGCGGAAATCCTCCAGGGACATCTCCATGAAGCTCTCCTGGAGATACTCCAAAAGCCTTTGCAGAAGGTTTCTGGGCAGTGCAGCCTTATTCCGTCCTCCACCGTAGGACACTTGACCACGCCATGCTAGTAGCATATGGTCCCGGTGTTTGCTGGCATTCAAGCAACATCCGTTCTTTATCTCGCTGTGTTATCCTCAGGAGAGTGATATCGTTCATGGTAATCTGGTTGAAATACGGGAATTTAATTAAGGGGACAGAGGTTTGCCTGTGGCTGAAAAGAAATCCTTCCCTGCAATTAGCCAAGCGGTGGGGGGTAGGGGGGAGGGGCATTGGCACTGAGCTTTTCGCGTTTGGCTAGCGGGGATTTTCCCTGATACCAGCCACGCGGTGGGGGGAGGGGTAAAGCGATCATCCCAAAGAATTGGATGGGTGGTGTGGGAGTTTAGTTTGGTTTCTGCTGCTGCATGTTAACAGGAAAACCACAGCACTCAACGGGCTTTGCTTGGTATGGGAAAGGAGGGCGCTGCTTTAATGAAGGTTGCAGAAGTCGAAAGACAATTGCTTACCATGGCTGTATGCAAGCCGAATTCTGTTGCCCGGCCCTGCGTCTGTGATCTCTAACACCAAAGCCGCAGGCACTCAATATAAGATGCAAAATGCGACCTTGTACCAAAATCACATGTGCTATGTAATGTGAATAGTGTTGTTCACTGTGAAAGAGTATAAGCATTGTTCTGTAAAATGTATCTTTTTAAATACTTCTCTCCCTTTTTTCCCTCCCTCCCGCAGCTGCAAATTTTTCAAGCCTCCCTCCTCCATCCCGAAGACTATCTCAGATAAGGCGGCGAAAAAAACGCACGAGAGACAAAATGTTCTCGGAAATCATGCAATCGACCCGCGATGAAAGAGCTCATCTGAATGAGTGGAAGGACACTGTATCAAGGTACAGGAAAGATGCCAGTGAACGTGAGGACAGGAGGGACCAACGTGAGGACAGGAGGGACCAACGTGAAGAGAGGAGGGACGCTCGAGATCAGAGGTGGCAGCAGGAAGATCAGAGGAGGCAGGATGCAACGCTGGGGCTACTGTGGGATCAAACCGACATGCTCCGGCGTCTGGTGGAGCTTCAGGAATGGCAGCAGGATCACAGAGTGCTGCTGCAGCCCCTGTATAACTGCCCCTGTATAGCCATGTTCCATAGCCTCCTCACCCAGATGTGTAAGAACGCGGGGAGGGAGGCTCCTTGCACCCACCCACTCCACCCCAGTGGACAGCCCAAGCAAAAGGCTGTCATTATTTTGAACTTCTGAAGTGGCCTTTTCCTTCCCTCCTATCCTCCTCCCAAACCCCACCTGGGCTACCTTGTCAGTTCTCTCCCTATTTATAATCAATTAATAAAGAATACATGATTTTTAAACAATAGTGACTTTATTTCCTTTGAAAGCAAGCTGTGATTGAAGGGGGGAGGGTGGTTTGCTTACAGGGAATGAGTCAATCAAGGGGGCAGGTTTTCATCAAGGAGAAACAAACAGAACTTTCACACCATAGCCTGGCCACTCATGAAACTGGTTTTCAAAGCTTCTCTGATGCACAGCGCTTCCTGGTGTGCTCTTCTAATTGCCCTGGTGTCTGGTTGCGTGTAGTCAGTGGCCAGGCGATTTGCCTCAGCCTCCCACCCTGCCATAAAAGTCTCCCCCTTACTCTCACAGAGATTGTGGAGCACACAGCAAGCAGCAATAACAATGGGAATATTGATTTGGCTGAGGTCTGAGCGAGTCCGTAACGTGTGCCAGCGACCCTTTAAATGTCCAAATGCACATTCTACCACCATTATGCACTTGCTCAGCCTGTAGTTGAACAGCTCCTGACTCCTGTCCAGGCTGCCTGTGTATGGCTTCATGAGCCATGGCATTAAGGGGTAGGCTGGGTCCCCAAGGATAACTATATGCATTTCAACATCCCCAACGGTTATTTTCTGGTCTGGGAAGTAAATCCCTTGCTGTGGCCGTTTAAACAGAGTAGTATTCCTGAAGACGTGAGCGTCCTGAACCCTTCCCGGCCAGCCCACATTGATGTTGGTGAAACGTCCCTTGTGATCCACCAGTGCTTGCAGCACCATTGAAAAGTACCCCTTGCGGTTTATGTACTGGCTGCCCTGGTGCTCCAGTGCCAAGATAGGGATATGGGTTCCATCTATTGCCCCACCACAGTTAGGGAATCCCATTGCAGCAAAGCCATACACTATGATCTGCACATTTCCCAGAGTCACTACCTTTGGTAGCAGCAGCTCAGTGATTGCTTTAGCTACTTGCATCACAGCAGCCCCCACAGTAGATTTGCCCACTCCAAATTGATTCCCAACTGACTGGTAGCCCTGGGGAAGCTTGCAACGCCAGACAGCTAGCACCACTCGCTTCTCAACTGTGAGGGCTGCTCTCATCTTGGTATTCTGGTGCTTCAGGGCAGGGGAAAGCAAGTCACAAAGTTCCATGAAAGTGCCCTTATGCATGCGAAAGTTTCGCAGCCACTGGGAATCGTCCCACACCTGCAACACTATGCAGTCCCACCAGTCTGTGCTTGTTTCCCGGGCCCAGAATCAGTGTTCCACGGCTATAACCTGCTCCATTAACAGCATGATCTCCAAAGCGCCAGGGCCCGTGGTTTGAGAGAATTCTGTGTCCATGTCCTCATCACTCTTGTCGCTGCACTGCCGTAGCTGACTCCTCCTTGCCTGGTTTTTCAGGTCCTGGTTCAGCATAAACTGCACGATAACGTGCAAGGTGTTTACAATGTTCATGACTGCTGTCTTGAGCTGAGCGGGCTCCATGCTTGCCGTGGTATGGCATCTGCACTGTTCACCCAGGAAAAAAGGCGTGAAACAGTTGTCTGCTGTTGCTTTCCTGGAGGGAGGGAGAGGATGTACCCAGAACCACCCGTGACAATGTTTATTGCCCCATCAGGCATTGGGATCTCAACCCAGAATTCCAGTGGGCGGAGGAAACTGCGGGAACTATGGGATAGCTACCCACAGTGCAACGCTCCGGAAGTCAACGCTAGCCTCGGTACATGGATGCACACCGCCGAATTAATGTGCTTAGTGTGGCCGCATACACTTGACTTTATACAATCGGTTGCCAAAAATCGAATTCTGTAAATTCAGAGTAATCCCGTAGACATACCCTCTCCCGCTAAACCCCTTCTTGCTGGCCTCTTTATATGAGGGTCAGCTAATTAAATTCCAATTCTTTCTTGGGTGCAACAGGCCGGGCTAATGGGACAGTCAAGCCAGCTCTGGGTCACTGACCCAAAGGATGGTATCATTTATTCCTTTACAAGTATCAAGTTAGAAAAGATTTAGTGGATCTTGTACTTCAGGGGTTTTCAACATTTTTTCATTTGTAGACCCCTAAAAAAATGTTGAATTGAGGTGCAGACCCCTTTGGAAATCTTAGACATAGTCTGCAGACCCCCAGGGGTCCGTGGACCACAGGTTGAAAACCACTGGTCTAGTTCAACTCACTGTCAATACAAGGAAATGTATCTGAGGGGGCTCAAGTTATTCCTGCCAAAATCAATGAGACCTTAAACTTACTAAAGTGACTGCAGATAAAACAATTTCATACAGTAACAGCAATGAATAAAAAGGCAAACAATTAGCTATAAGCGTGGGAATGTATGAATGAGAGAGAGAGCTGTGTGCGCACTTTTAGGCTCTAGTTAAGTACATGAGAATGTGCTTAAGTGCTATGCTGAATCAAAGCTATAGATTTATGTGAAAAATGCAGAGAACATCCATAATTGAAGGTTCAGTTTTTAGGGGATGACCGATTATTGGCAGTGTGTAGAGGCTGCTGTCAGCTGTTCCAGTGATTAACTTGCTACATCTTTACAGATCCACAGTGCAGGTATGATCATTGAAATTGACCCCATAAACATAGGGTTAGAAGGGACTGCAAGGGTCATCTAGTCTAACCCCAATGATTTTTTGCCCCTTCTGTTGTAATGTACCTGTATTATACTTTGCCAACATTTAAAAATAAGAGAAGAGACGGAGATGTTTATATTAATATGTATAAATAATTTATTGAACAATAACATATGCAAATGAATTGGATATGCTTCTCTATATAAAGACATTAATGACATTCTAATTTTTTTGGCAATTTACTATACTAACTGTCCATTCCATTAAAATCTAGATATTGTGATGAGGGGCAGGGGAGAGTTCAGAAAGAATGTAATACAGTGGTCTCACTAATCGTACTGTGTAATATTTGGTCTCTGAAAATTTACAGAGTAGTCAATGTAACTCAAATCATTATCATGTGATATAATACAGTCATATGCAGTAATAGTTCATATACTATCAATACGAATGTTTTTTTAAAAAATATAGCTTTAAAATAGATATTTCAAATGGGTACATCACAATCTTATTAAGTTAAAAAATGAAACAAAAAAACTCAAACAAAATCTTTGCACAACATAGTAAAAGAATATTCCATCTTTAACTTCTTCTGGTGGCACACTCAAGCTACTCTGTTTAATTCATGTTGTAACCAGGACCACTGGATGGAATTATTTCTAGGTATTATATTGTTCATCTGGTGCTTTAAGTATAATTTGGTTTTAAAAGCATGATTACTTTCAGCAGTTAAATATAGTAATGGAACACTGTCAAAGCTGGTGGCCAGTAGGTATTCTTTTTTAAAATCGATGCTACTAAGGTATATCCTTTTTCCCCCTGCTGTGGCTGTCTGCTCTGTATTTGATTAGATCTTATACTGAAGTGAAGGGGATCAATGATGTGAGTACTTGCAAAGAAAAGATGTAACATGTTTTGGCTTTTTTGTTACAAGGCTGCAACCAGAGCATTGTTTCAGAATAGTTCTGAGTTCCTTGTGCCCCCAACTCCAAGTGAAATCAACTGGAGTTTTCAGTATGCAAGAATTGGAGAACTTCCTTTTTGCCTCCTTTTTCTCTATGTAGGAGATATTTATAAATAAATTGGTCACGATTTGAGGATTACGTTTTTTTTCACTTCTAAGGTAGATGATATTTTTAGCCTTCCAGCTTTGGCTGTGACTGTTCATTAATCTTTGGAAAAGTAAATGTAAACTTAAAAAGGTTCTTATATATTTTGCTTTTACATTCCAATTTGATTTGATAAAGTTCTAAACTTTAAGATCAAACTGACTTACAAGAAAATATGCCAGGAACAATTTACACTTCTTCTCCTAAATATATTAACAATGAAATACAAAATCAATTTTAAAATACAGAAAAGCTAAGATAGCTGGGTTATATTTATCACATGAATATGTGCCAAACAAAGCTTGGTCTTTTGCTAACAGTATCTTACTACATTTGTAATACATGGTAAACAAAGATCCTATTTCTGTAACAAGTACATTCTGACAATATATATTTTATGGAATAAATATACAGTTATAGTTTTCAGTTATAGATTTCAGAATAATAGCTATAATGGATACAAGCAATACCTATATTTAAAAATACGTTCTAAGATTCTCTAGCCTTACTACTAATAAAATTAAAGTAGATCTAAAACTGCCTCACTCTATTGATGCATAGTAAAATATATGGAAACATCAAGAGTAAAAAGCCAATTGCTTCTACAACTGAATACTTTATAAATATAGTAACTTGCTATTTTCAGGAAAAAAAATTGAAAATTATTATAAACTGGAAGTCAGATTAAAACAACTCTACAATATATAGTAAAAAGAGGTTATGGAGTGTGATGTGGGAGTTTGTTTTATGTTTGTGGCAACATTTTGAACAGATGCAGTTTGGTTGATGGACTACAAGTTGTTCATTTCTGGAAATAACTGCAGAGAAAGACTTCACCCTCACTAGCAGCCGATCTTGGCCTCCTTAGATATAACCCTCACTGACCAATAGGACAGAGTTTTGTTAGAATAAGGAGTGCAAGATTGGACCTTACAATGATTTATTCAGAAGCCCCAAACTTCTCTACATTTCATAGTGTTTACTTACCATACTGCTCATTAGGAATAAAGTCATAGAAATCTTGTATCTGAGACTGCACTGTATTGAAAAGCCTTATAAAGAAGGTACCAGGTGTGTTTTGGTTCTTACTAAATTATTCTTACACCACTTATTCATAACTTCTTGATAAGTTCAGTTATTGTGTTCTCTCTGTTTTCTTGTAATTGTAGGTTGGAATACTGAAGCACAGCTCCAATTGCTTGGTTACTGAATTCTTGATCTAGATTTTATTCTTGAGAATAACCTAGAATTAAACAAACAAAAAAAACATTTCTCAGAGCTAACAAAAAGAATTGAGGGATTGGGTCACTCATATTTTCCTTCCTTTCTTTCTCCCCAACTAAGAATAACTTTAATGAGCACTATAGTACATTTAAAGATTTAGTTGGGGTGAGATTGTCTAAACTTTATTTGAAACCTTTGTGAGATTTTGCGTTTTAATATTTAATGGTTCCTGCAACAGTCCAGTTTAAGGTAGAATAACACAATTTATTACACAAAACTTAACCATTTATATCTGTAACATTAAGAGCGGAAAATAGGAATTTTGACTAAGACTCACAGAATAAGGGTCCATCAAGCAAAATTCTGATCTCACATGCAAAACCTCAGCAAAAGACTCTTGTCTAGGGGACCAAAGCAGGATACTAGCCTACAACTTGGAAGAGCTGGGTTCAAGTCCCTGCTTCACCAGAGACTTCCTGGATGATGTTGGACAAATCACTTAGCCTCTCAGTTCTCCATCTGGAAAATGGGAGTGATAGGGAAGTGCCATCTCACAGGGGTGTTGTGAGGATACATTAAAGATTGTAAGGCACTCAGATACTACAGTAACTTTGGCCATATAAGTACCCAAGCGGTGAATGGAATATTCCCTACCACAGTGGAGGTAGGATTTGCAGCTAAGCACTTTTCCAACACATTATGCAATGGAACCACAGTGGCTCTGGTGCATTTTGGGCTTTTTGTAGCTGTGAAAGGCCTGGGAAAAATTCCCCTCATGTGTAGATGCTCTGCAGCATAGTAGTAAGGGACTGTTATATTAAGCCTAAAGCTGGTAGCAAAAAATTCTTAATTTTTACAAGAACTTTTTGGCTGATGGGAATAAAATACACTATGAGGGTGTCCAGAAAGAATACTAACTTACTGCTCAGACTCTTCCTTGTATTGCATGCTAGACTAGTATGCCAGATATTGATTTCTAGATTCAGACTTGGAAAAATAGCACCACATTTTGATGTGGCAAATCCCCTACTTGCAAAGTGCATTTTACTTGGGGTAGGGCACACTGAAATCTACCAAGTGATGAGCACTCTCTGCTCCTGTTGTGGTCGGTGCTCAGTAGCTGGTAAGAGATGATCAGCCCTTCACAGGTTCGAGCCAAAAGCATGACCAATGAATAGTCTTACCTACGACATATGATTTTGCTGTGTATTCTGCTGTTGTTGCTGCTGCTGAATTAGCAGTTGCTGCTGTTGCCGGCGTCGTGCTGTCCTCAGTTTTTCAAAACGAGCCTCCATCTCTTCCAGCACTTTGGGAGTGTAGCGCACGACCAGCTTGACACTATCTTTAGCAGCCTTCAGGAGCTCCACTGCTTTTTCATGGTGCTCTCCTTCCACGCTCTGCAAGCAAGGAGAACATAGAGTTCTAAAGAAGCTGGTTTTATCCAGAGTCCTGTCCTCTTCTCATACTTGCTGTCACAGAAAGGATGTCAATGGTTTAAGCTGTTTCCGTATTTTAAACTTTTCAAATGGTCATTGGGGGGGAAATGTAAAGGTAAATAAGACTTATGCAGGGTTGATTGATTATCTCTTTTTGCATTTTAAATTTGATGCCTGAATCATTTTTAGGTTGCATCTGAAATGTGAAAATGAGCATAATTTCTGATTCATACAAAAACTGGGGTGGGGAGAGTTTTGCAAATATACAAGCCAAAATAATGCAAAAACAACTGAATTTAAGAAAAGCTTGTCATACCTTTCCTGTGGTTACCAGATAAGAAAGTGGAATACAGGGAGTGTGAAAGCTTAACATGGGTGAGAAGTGAGCAGGTTGGGCGTTTGGGAATGGCTCACTAACCTTTCATTTCTAAGGCACTGATACTGCATGGAGCTCACTGCAATATGTAAGCACCTGCTTAACGTCAAATATGCAAGCAAGCCCACTAACTTCAGAGACTACTTGTGTTTAGAAGTTAATGGGACTGCTCACATGCATAATCGCATCCTTTGCTGAACGGGAGTTAGTATCACAAGTGCAGACCCCTTTCAGTAGTGACTGTTTGGTAGCCTATGCAAAATGAGCTGGTGCTCTCCATCCAGTTAGTAGCAGACAGGCATATGTTCTGCAATGTCCACTTAACTGCATCTGCAAGAGTAAACCAGGAGGCCAAGGGGTAAGTGATGAACTGGGACCTTAGTTTCCATAATCTACACATGAGCATGTACATAATCCTCCTCATGCAAGTAGACACCTTGAACTCTAAGTCTTGCTCATGTGAGTGCAGAGTGATGCGTATATTTAAGTGTTTGCAAGATCATAAACTAGCCCAGGAGTCGGCAACCTTTCACAAGTGGTTTGCCGAGTCTTCATTTATTCACTTTAATTTAAGGTTTCACGTGCCAGTAATACATGTTAATGTTTTTTAGAAGGTCTCTTTCTATAAGTCTATATATTATATAACTAAACTATTATTGTATTGTAAAATAAATAGGGTTTTCAAAATGTTTAAAAAGCTTCATTTAAAATTAAATTAAAATGTAGATCTTATGCCGCCGGCCCGCTCAGCCCGTTGCTGGTCTGGGGTTCTGTTCACCTAGGCCTGCAGCGGGCTGAGCGGGGCCTGTGGCCGGGACCCCAGACCGGCAATGGGGTGAACGGCTCAGCCCACTGCCACTCAGGGGTTCCATCCGCCGGCTCCTGCCAGCCGGGATCCCGGCTGCTGGACCCGCTCAGCCTGCTGCTGGTCTGGGGTCCCAGCCCTGCCCACATACAGTGGGTACCTACCTTCTCCCTGGTTCTGGCCCATTCTCTTCCTCTGTCTCTGCACTGAGCTGAGGGCAGGAGTGCACTGTGCACAGGACTGGGGGTGAAGGAGCAGGCTGGGGGTTGGAGTGTAGGGTCTGGCCAGGAGCTAGAATGAGGGAGGGGGCTCAGGGTTGGGGTTTGGGTGTGGAGCATTTACCTGGGCAGCTTCCATTTGGTGCGAGGGGTGCAGGTGGGAATGTGGTGGTGGTGGTGCAGGAGTGGGGGGGTGCATGGAGTGTGGGGGGCTGAGTATGTGGGGGGTGCAAGAGTCAGGGCTGGGGTCATGGGGTGTGTGTGAAAGAGTCAAGCAGAGGGCTGTGTGTGTGTGGTGGGGGTGGGGGGGGGGGTGGGTGTGTGGGGGGGGGGGGGGGGCGGAGTATGTGGGGGGTGCAAGAGTCAGGGCTGGGGTCATGGGGTGTGTGTGAAAGAGTCAAGCAGAGGGCTGTGTGTGTGTGTGTGGGGGGGGGTACAGGGCTCAGGGCAGGGGTGTGTTGGGCGCAGGGCTCCGGGCACGGGCCTGGGGGGTGTGCGGGGGCAGGATTCAGGGCACGGGCCTGGGGGGTTTGCAGGGCTCAGGGCAGAGGGCTGTGTGTGTGTGAGGGGGGGTCAGGGCAGAGGGCTGGGGGTGTAGGCTAGAATCATGGGGTGCTCACAGCAGGGGGCTGGAGGGGATATGCCCCTATTCCACCACCCCCTTTCCCAAGGGCCTGCCCCCACTTCTTCTCTGCCTCTGCTAGGAGCAGCGAGCATGCTGACTCCACTCCTTCCCCCCCCCTCCCTTGCAAGGGCCATCAGCTGATCGGCCAGCAGGGAGGGAGGGACGGAGAGGAGGAGGAGGGGCAGGAACCCAGCATACTGTGGGAAGAGGCAGGGGAGCCAGCAGGACCAAGCTTCTGCCCCCTGCTCCCATGGGAGGGGGTGGGGGGGCAGAGAAGAGTGGGCTGGGCCGGGCAGGGCTGATCAGGATTTTTAATGGCACGCTGCTGCCTGCCGGGACACGTGTGCCATAGGTTGCCGACCCCTGAACTAGCCTATCACACCCAAGAGGTCACATCCTCCCCCCTCACAGGGTTTCAGAGCCCAGGCTCCAGCTCCAGCCTGAACGTCTGCACTGCAGTTTTATAGCCCTGAAGCGCTAGACCTGCAAGCCCAAGTCAGCTGACCTGGGCTCTGACACTAGGTGCTTCAGGTTTTTTTTATCAGTGTAGACATACCCTTGTGCTAAGCCACATTTATGCTGGACTTAACTGTGTCTGAAAACAGAATTTGAATTTGGTTTTAAAAAATACTGCAGTTCTAGCTAAACTCTGCAGTACCAGACTGGCTTTGAGTATGGTGGTGTATGTGTGTTGATATTGAAAAAAATAAAAAGGTGTGTGGTTGCGGTGGAGAGGGGGTGGCACAAGTGTAGGTGAGACAAATTCATGGTTTGTGAAATTCAAACATTTAAAATATATCATGCACGTGAAAGAGAAATGGTTTTCTGACTTTTTATGATATATGAAGGTGGCTTTTTAGTTACTATTCTGTTCGGATTTTTACCCTGGTTTCCTGGAAGACCGTAAGGGTAAGTGGAGAACTCTGATATCTATGGGTACATCTATACTTACCTCCGGGTCCGGCGGTAAGCAATCGATCTTCTGGGATCGATCCCGGAAGTGCTCACCGTCGACACCGGTACTCCTGCTCGGCGAGAGGAGTACGCAGAGTCGACGGGGGAGCCTGCCTGCCGCATGTGGACCCGCGGTAAGTTCGAACTAAGATAGTTCAACTTCAGCTACGTGAATAACGTAGCTGAAGTTGCGTATCTTAGTTCGAAGTGGGGGGTTAGTGTGGATCAGCCCTCAGATTTGAAACCTAACTGAGAGAAGTTGCAGGCTTTTTGTTTTTTGTAATTCAGACTATTTAAAACTATTGTTTTTGTTAACACCCATTTAACTCAAATATACAACAGACAATTCAGAGGAAAGCTCTTTTGCTAGAGATTGAAGACCTCCTTCAATTAAGAGCCAAGAAACCACATCTCTGGATTCTTCAGAAAAAACAGGGGAGATGAGACAACATTACTGACATTTCTAAGCTTAAAAAAATGTAGACATTTTGTTCAAGTTTTTTCTATATACAATTGCACACAAAAGGAGACTAACCCAAAGTCCATCTCCTGACCCACCTACCACTGAAGTCAACTTTAAAAAGCAGCTTCCAGTGTCTCATTTCCCACCAGCTTCCTTGGAACATAGGCTTGAGCACAGTAAATCCTCTTTACTGACTGCTTCTCAATATGTAGTTATCTATTCCTTTTCAATTTCCTATAATTCCCTATCCCGCTTTTCCCCAAATGCCCCCTTCCTTCTCTTTCTTTCAGTTCTGAATTCTAGATTTCTAATCCTCACAAGAAGTGATATTCAGTCCTTGGAACAAATGATTGATAATGCCTATTTGTGAGAGAAAGCAAGGTCTTCTGTCAATGAGGTTTGAAATAGTCCCTCAAAAGTGGTACTTTATCTAACTTTATTTGTGGTAGAGTACAGAGGAAAAGAAAGGCATGAGGGAGAAAACATACATACTGAAGGATCTCAGGGCCCTGATTAAGGGCAAAATTCTCTTGTCAGATCAGTACATACCCTTTCTCTCAAAAATGACTTGCATTAAGTGATATCTGCTGTGAAATGAAACATACTCCCAAATGTGCTTAATTTCTGATTTGTATGTTTACATTGTTTTTAAATAGTAGGTCTTCAAAAGCAGAGGTGATTTCTCTGAAAGATGTTTTTCATTTTTTCCCCACTAAATTGCTTGACTGGAGTGTATTTCAGGAGTACAAATTGTTCCACACATTAGATGGAATGGTGGAATTCTATAATGATAGATGATTGTCATATACGTTCCAACAAACAAAAGTGTCTCAGTGCAAAAACCTTACAACCAAGATCTTCATGTGGATTGTAGACCATTTTTAAATGAATGTTTTTTTCATAAAAGAAAAGAAATCAAAGCTTTACCACATAGTATATTGAGGCAATTGTGTATTGTGCTATTTAAAAGGAAACTATGCCCATATGCCACAAATCTCCAAAGAGAAGAGGCAGCACTGATAAAAGTCTAATATTGCAAGAATACGTTGGCATCATTTTAGGAACGTCCGAAATTAGAAGACAATTTTGCTTATTTTTGTCACTTCTAATAGATTGTGAACACTGTGTGTAACAGATCAGAACAAATATGAATTGCTTCTGCTGTGGCACACTGAGATAGAACTATCAAGGCAGAAGATGCCAAAAGCAGGCTCATGACATGACTTGACTTCAATGAAATGTGTAACACAATCAATACTGTTTGTCCTCTAACCTCTTGCTGGCAGCAAACGTAACTTTATATAGGGTCCAGCACAGGAGTTACATCAACAACATATCTGGAAAATACTGTCCCAAACAAGGAATAAACTTTTAGATTAACTGATGGGACATAAGTATTTCAGAAATGTGAACATGCTTCAGAAAACATTATATTTATATTCAAAGTTGGGGGGATGATAATTATCATTTCAGGTGCTAAAATGATGAGGTAGGCTCAGGGGTGAAAGTAACTTAAATGA